GTTAATTAAATATTTAACTATGCCATTTATAAATGTATGAATCATATGGTGAAAAACTGACTTTGAAAAATAAATCTGTTTTTATTTTCTTATAAAAGGCTAAATAAAACAAAAATATTGGTGGTAATTTTTGACTGTGTAACTTTACAAACGGCAGCCCATAGTGTAACTTTGTGTTTGTCAGACAGTTGTGTATCATGTTGGTTCCCTGCCATATATTTTGTGCTTATTGTGGAAGTAGTTTGTTGCCACATCTGAAATTTTCTTTCTTCATAAGTCAGTTTTGTTTTGACTCTTTGTGCCTGCCCGTTTCCTGGGTCCAAACCATTTTACAACCACAACAACCGGTTTTTGAACAACAGTTTAGACAAACAAAGACTAGTTTTGAGCCTAAAGTCAAGATAATAGTTGGTCTGAGCTGGATCAGCTCAGCTTTTTTCACTCTTTGTCCTCTATGACTGGTGTCACAGCTCATAAAGTACTTATTGTTGAAAGGTTTTTAGGCTATCCTTTTAAACCCTGTGTTTTAAACTCATGTTATTCAAAGAGCCATCTACTGCAGGTAAGATATTTACTTCTCATGCCAAAAAACAATATTTAAAAAGCCCAAACTATTATTTTAATATAATGTAAAAATCGTATTTTATAATTAGTCATTCTCAGGACAATATTCATGGACMCCCCCCCCCCCTCTCCATTTAATGTTTATTAACTGCAACTATACATTTTATTTTTAAATGCAATAAAGTTACTCAGCTGTTGGTATTTGTCTGTACGTTTTAACAGTCAAATGACCTTAATAAAATGGCAAAAAAACACAAGTGTCCATTTTAGCACAACTAGATACAGATCAGGATGAAATATATCATTGGAACAAAGTGGATCAGTCAGTTTGTGACCTGAAGTAGAAGTTTTCACTTATTTTTACGCCGAGACTCAAGAATTTATAACTGATTTTATAATGGTTATAAATAAAAGAGGAAAAGTCATGGTTTAATGTTAGATTGTTCTGAATTAAAACACACCATTTCTACCTAAAAAGAAAGGATTTGAATGTAACTTTCTCCTTACATTTAATGGTGACATAAATTGGATCTGACTCAGGAGACGTGTTGTTCCTGTTGCCTTCATGCACACAGCTGTAGTTCCCCTCATGGTCGTATTCAGCTTCATAGAAGTTGAATGAATTTGACTGGCTGGTCCAACGTTTGCTGTTATCCTGGCTGGAAAACTTGAGAATAAAATAATCTGAAGAATTATTGGAGTTTAAAGAGCAGTTGAAGATAAAGCTGTGACCCCTGGTGACCTCCGCATGTCCAGAAACCCAAACCAGTCCACCACTGGGAGAAGTCAGTTTGATTATGGGCTTTTCCAACGCTGCTGTGCAAAACAGGGACAGAAAATTGAATTAATAATACATTTATGAAAAACAGTTCAAGGCAATCTTCTCCCAGTGACTTTCACTGGGCTGTAAAATGTTTCCTATTATACTGGGGGGAAAAAACAAGAGAATTTTCACTTTGAATATTAGTTCTATATGAGTTTAATATGAGAGTCATGATCGACACGTTATGGGGACATTATGGCAGAGACCAGGGGAGCTCAAACATTTTCCCCAAGTGAGCCAAAATGATCATCTGGGGCTGCGGGCCAAATGTAGTAATATAATACATGAATTACAAATACTTTTTAAATAAAGTACTTTATTTTTAATGAGTAATCTTTCAGCCAGTGCAATGGCCCACTTTGGTTTTTAGTGAAGTCTGCCATATGCTCAAGCAGCAAAGGCTCATGGGACATTTCATGAATTGATAAAATATGAGTTTTTGTGGCCTTATAACGTGAACAAATCTACGTGTGTGGTTAAATCTAATCTAAATATCTCTTGTTGTTACTTGTATTTCACGTTTCATGTTTAATATTAACATATCAAAGATAAAGTCAGCACTATCAGTGAAAACTATCTGCACCACAGTCTCTTATATATTAACAAAATTCATGTACAATAAAAATATAAATCACAAATAAAATGAAAGGTGGCAGAAAGAAAAAAAAGTCTTATAGTATCTGCATCAATATTCATTTGACCAATGGATAAAATGACTTTCAGTGGAAATACTGTGTTTCTACATAGTATGACAGGTTACAACCTTGTAACTATACAACTGCTGGTGGGCCATATCAAATGGCTTGGTGGGCCAAATTTGGCCCACGGGCCCCACTTTGGGCTCCTCTGGCAGAGACTGTGCGTAAAGTCATTTATGGCACTTTTCCACTAGCACCTCCACAGCACGGTTTGACTCGGCTGAACTTTTTTCAGCGCAGTTGGGGTAGATTTCTGTTACACTTCAGGAACAGCTCTAGTGGGTGGGTTTGTTTTAATGTTGGGTGGTCCCAGAGTCTGAAAATTAATGCCACACACATTCCCAGCTGGTGGCAGTTATGCTTCATTAAACAGCCATCATTAACATCCCTTAGCAAAAATTAGTATATGCAAGTATACTTAAAGTATACTAATTTTAAACTAAAAAAAATAAATAAAATGGTATACTTCCAGTATACTTTTAAGGTACTTATCTGAGATATAGTGCTTACCCTTCACAATAATAGGTTTATTTAAGTGTACTACAAGTATATTTATTTTATTCTTTAAATAAGGCAGTGTAATTTAAGTTTAGTTCTTATAAACTACATTAGATATACTTAAGAATAGTATAGTGAAGTATACTTGGCTATGCTCAAAAGTATAAAATAAGACAATAAGACTTATACTTTAATACTAAAGTTTATACTTGTGTTTTTTGCTACTCTTTACTTATGCTGCAAAAAACTAATACATTATTTTAATCTAAGAACAAAATAAGATAACATTCACTAATGTAACATGGGGCGGCTGTGGCAGGGTGGTTAGGGGAGTTGTCCTGGAACTGGAAGGTTACTGGTTCGATCCCCCGTCCAGCTGTCTCAGTTGTTGTGTCCTTGAACAAGATACTTCACCCCTAATGTGTGTCTCATCAGTGTATGAATGTGAGTGGCACAGATTAGTCTCCAAAGATGATTGTACATGTTAACTTTAAAATTATTTTTAAATTATGGGATAATCTGGAGGATAACGTTAAAAAAGCCAGATCAATGTGTATATTTAAGAAAATGATAAAGGTAAATCTGTTGGAGGAATATGTATGAGTATAAGGCATGAATTGTTACTTAAGAAGAAATTAAACCTTTGTTTTTTCTCTTTTTTTTTGTACGTTGTAAATTGAAGATTTTTTATTGAATTTATTTAAGAAAAAGGGGCAGAAATCATAAGATTCTTTTCTTCTTCTGCTACCTTTCATTTAATTTGATTATTATTATTATTATTGTATTTTGAATTTGTGTTGCTTTGTTTTAAATTAATAAACTTTAAAAAAAACTTTGTAGGAGATCTAGTAGAGTACCAGTACAGACTGTTTACCATTTAATGTTGCAGAATAAGTTTTTCACAAAACACATTTGCTTTGAGGAATTACCTGTTCTGAACTTGCCTGTTCAACACATTACAGTTTAGTGTACATACAGTATGAGTTATCTTCAAGGATACTTTAAGGAAGTACTTTTTAGCATATAAATAGTATTCCACAAGTAATTGCTAAACAAGCTTACAAGTATAATCTAACAATTAAAATGACAACATAGTTCTGGTTTTACTAATTCAAAAAAGTGAACTTAATGTATACATAAATAAACTCAAATGTGGACTAAAAGTATATACAGTAACTAGTGCAGCAGTTGAGGCATTCAGTGTTTAACCTGTCCTGTTCCTGATTGGCTGCCACACCCAAGTGGCTGCAGCTGCTGAAGATCTGGCTCATTACTCCTGGCTATTTAAAGTGGATCAGAAGATSAAGTCCTCGCTGATGCATCATCCTGTTTTGGTATGATTCTCGGCCTTCTTGTGTATCTGTCTACCAGAATTCTGTTAATCTTGATTCTCCCTGTTCAGATTTGTTTGAAACCTGCTTGGACGATCTCCCTGTGATCCTGAAGCCAATTAAGCAAGCCACTCACCAGATCTATGCTGCACTGCCTGTCTGCCTCAGCCTGGAACAAAAACCATTCACCCAAAGGAAACATTACTCATCTGGAAACCTTGGACTTTCTCCTCCACGCTCCACCATCTTCACCTTCCTGTAAGAAACAATTTAATC